TTCCTAGGGAAGTAAGGTATAGTAGGTATACGCATTAGTTTTGGTTAAACTCAACGATATCGATAAGAAGTCATTAGATGTCGTGGCAATGGAGATAAACGTCAAGAAAGCATTAGATGCGACGTTTTATCGAACCAAGAATAGCTTAGAACTATTAGAAATTAGATTGCTTACCTTAAAATATTAAGTGTTAAGACAAGCCAAAGCATGCTTAATCACTTATTGATCTTTTGGGTCTTGGAATCGTTTTATTCTCGCCTAAAAGGGACAATTTTAATGTGTGGATAAAACGCTAAATAAGATTGAAAATTTGCATGTATGCTTTAAATTTCTTTCTTATTGGTTTTATGAATGGTTTTTCATTGCAAATTCTTTCACTTGTAGCAAAATGTCTGCAATTAACAACAACATGTGCCCGAAACTCCCCGACAAGTTGGCTTTTAGCCTAAACTTGGTCAATTTCAAGGAATGAGAAGAGGAAGTTTATCTCATACCTTCCGGACATGCTTCTTAATGATCTTAAGGAGCTAGTCAATATGTCTTTCGAGACTCGGGACTTGAATGTTCATAACTTGACTAGGTCATTTGTGAACATGAAAATCAAGGCCCTGGAGGAAAGGTTACCTTGCCAAGGAAAGGTGCCAAGTTTGGTCTAGGGTCTACAATACCAAACTGAGACCAGCTATGCCACTCCAACCCCATGTGCTTAGAATTACTAGGCTCTTCAAGCATATGGAGCTTCTTGGAATCCCTTTAGAGGATGAGATGGCGGGTCATATCTTGCTTAGCTCACTCTACTCGGGCTATGATGCACTTAGGATGCATATGGTAGCCGGGAAGGAGTCACACTCATTGAATGAGGTGGTACAAGTGCTACGCAAGACCAACTCCTATGGAGCTACCAAGATTCCCTTGAGAGTGAAGAAGGAGTTCAAGAACAAAGCGAAGATGCAATGCTTCTATTGTGGTGGGCAAGGCCACTACAAAAGGGAATGCAAGATCTTCAGAGAAGATGAGGAAAAGGGGAATGCTCCATCCACCTCAGGTATCTTTATTGTAACCTAACCCTTGTGTATAAGCAATTCATAGGTATTGGATACCATATATGACTCACTTTATGTTCCTATTTCAAGGACCAAGTGAAAGGCTTTACAAGTGAATGTGTGACTACAACCGGACGATGAAGATAGTCCTTCTGCCGTGTTTGTAGGCTTAATATTTGTCTTTTGAGATGTAATAGAACTTATTTCGTTTTATTATTTACTTATCGTTGAACATATTATGATCTTTGGAGTTGGACGCCGGGTAGTTTTTTATTTCAAGACAATGACAATGGTTGCTTTACATGTCTTAATTGTATGTTCTATGGTATTTCACATTTATATATGTGCTTTCATTAGACAAACAGGCTTATAATGTTAACAATACCGCCAAAAGGGTTAAGACCAATGACTCGAATCAAACCTACTTGTGGCATTGTCGTCTAGGCCATATAAACATCAAGCGCATCAAGAAACTTCTTCATGAAGGGATTCTTGATTCATTCGACTTAGAGTCGTTTGAAAATTGCGAAGGATGTCTTCTTTGCAAGAAGATAAAACAACCCTTCTCCAAGTTAGGAGAAAGGGTTGGTGACTTATTGGGGCTAATACACACGGATGTATGCGGACCAATGAGCACAAGTGCAAGAAATGGTTATCGCTATTTTATCATATTCATGGACGACTATACTAGATATGGCTATGTCTACCTAATGTCGCACAAATTTGAATCCTTTGAAAAGTTCAAAGAATTTCAGAGTGAAGTGGAAAATCAGCTTGGCAAGAAAATCAAAGCCCTTCGATCGGATCGAGGTGACGAGTAATTGAGCTACGAATTCGACGACCATCTGAAAGAACGCGATATTCTCTCAAAATTAACACCTCATAGAATGGAGTGTCCGAGAGGAGAAATCAAACTCTGGTAGACATGGTTCGATCCATGATGGGTCTTACCGATCTTCCTTTTAATTTTGGGGACACACACTTCAAACCACGACACTAACACTGAACCGCGCTCCGTCAAAAGCTGTCGAAAAGACTCCATATGAATTATGGACAAAAACCTCCACAGATGTCTTTTCTTAAATTTTGGGGTTGCGAAGCATATGTCAAAAGACTTATGTCTGACAAGCTTGCACCAAAATCTGACAAATGTTTCTTTGTTAGATATCCGGGGTATTACTTCTAAAACCAATCTAAGAAAAAAGTGTTTGTTGCTCGAGATGGTGTCTTTTTGGATAAGGAGCACCTTTCCAAAATGACAAGTGGGAGGAAAATCGAACTTGATGAAGTTCGAGTAGATGAGAAACAAAATTAATCAGACAAAACTGATAGGCAAAGGGCTTTGGAAGCACCTGTTGATAATGGTCAAAGTCAAACTGACAATGTTCAGAATCAAACCGACAACGTAAATGCTCAATCTATTACCCTACGTAGGTCGCAAAGGCCAAGATCTCAACCGGACAGATACCTCGATGTCATCTTAACCAAGAATCAAGACATCCTAGTTATGGATGAAGATGAGCTAACGACATACAAACAAGCTATGACGAGCCCCGACTCCACTAAATGGCTAGAAGCCATGAAATTCGAGAAGGATTCCATGTTTGAGAATCAAGTCTAGGACTTGGTTGATTTGCTCGAAGGTTATACACCTATCGGCTGCAAAAGGATTTTCAAGTAGAAAACCGACAAAGATGGAATTGTACAACGATGGAAGGTTATTCTCAAGATATGTTGCACATTTATGATTTGATTTGTATTTAGTTATGACTCATGTTGCATAGCGTTGAAGATACTTTTTGGTCATATTATGTGTACACATTGAGATAAAATCTTGCCAATTATACTTGAATCACTACACCTGAAGTGTAGGTTGTATGATCAGTTCCAAAATAAAGATATCTTTAATGGATATGATATATGGCAAGATAGTGCAGTTAACACTAAGGTGTAATAGTATATAAATACCATAGTGTATGAAATGCCCTAAAAGTGGTATAGATATCTGAATTATTACAATAGATGGCCTATGATGTAAGGAAGTTATGATGGTACCAATAAGAAGTGGATTCAAATATCATAGTAAAATAGCATGCGAAATGTACGTTAAAGGAATATTATGATACCGGTACACAAGGGAACCGATGGATAATATGCATATGCATAATAGAATGGACTAGTGAATAAGGGAACTAAAATATGTCCATTATGATGTCGACATAATGATAATCATCTAAAGTTTATCATGGACCAGAAGTCCAATGAAATATGGATTTTTAAATCCACACTGTACAGTGTCTTGCATTATTTTGAGTCCTATGTATGTTTATATGCCTGTATAAGTCATAGGTTGACGGATTGTTCATTGCATATGTCAGTAGTTGTTAGATGCATTACTTATTGTATATTTTGCTTAATATGTTATCATGTTTTATATATCTCATATTGCATGCATTAGTTTCTATACAATATTTGTGGCGTATGTGCATGTTCATTCAAAGTATAGTAAGACATATTTACAACTTTGATGGAAAATAGAAAGACATATTTATATTCCAACGAGCTTATAATTATGATGAAATTATATATGACGTTGATATAATATTATTTATGAATCATATAAGAGAAGTTCCCGAAGAACTTATATGCAACGTATTTATAGCCCTACAAATTTTATATCTTGAATATTACAATTATTATCAAACTCTTGAAAAGTCTATGTGACTACATCATTGCCTTCTCAACCTGAAGTTTGAGCATATGAAAGTTAGTGAGATTTGCTTTTGTATTTGCAAGAGAGCTATCGTGTCAATTATGAAACGTCTAAGGAATATCAATGGAATACTTATGCGTGAGAATGTTTTCTTATGGTCCAGAAGAACCATGATTAGCGTATCTAATTACATGTGTTATATTATTATTCAGATGAGATTGAAGAATGACATTAATAATATCAAGTTTTGTCATCAAATTATTATTAATGAACGTTTGTTCAAATAATGATCATCGATTTCTATTATTCACGACCTCCAAAAGAAGGCCTAACCACATAAGTTTAACTTTTAGGGGCCGTTTGGTTCACAGAAGAGAATTGGAATGAAATGAACAACGTGAATGAAATGGAATGGAATGGCAAAGTGGAAAATTTGGAAGGTTGTTTGTTACAAAAACCAGGGAATCATTCCCTCCACCACAGCAACACCACCACAGTGCAGCTCCGACCGCCGCCGAACCCTCACAGAACTCCGCCAACCGTCGCCGACCCATCCCCGACCGTCGACGACCGTCGCCGACCATCCAGCCCCCATCGCCGACCGTCGAACTCCCTCCCCGATGCTCCAGCCCCCCTCCCCGATGCTCGAACTCCCTCGCCGACAGTCGCGCCCCCCTCGCCGACGGTCGCTGACCCCTCGCCGACCCTCCAGCCCCCCTCGCCGACGGTCGCTGACCACCACCGACCACAGCACCACCTCGAACTCCCTCCCCGATGCTCCAGCCCCCCTCCCCAACGCTCGATCTCCCTCCTCCACCACAGCACCACATCGTCGACCACTCCCCGGTGCTCGCCGAGCCTCCCCGACCACTCCCCGGTGCTCGCCGACAGTCGCCGTCCGACCACCACCGACGTATATGGGTGTTAGTGTTAGGGTTAGGGTTAGGGTGGGTGGGGAATGGAATGGGAAAGTGGGGGGGGAGGTGGGGAATGGGGAAGAGGGGTTTTGGGGTATTTTGAAAAATGAAATGGGGGAATGATTGAGGGAAAAAGTGGCAAACAAACAGGTTGAAAGGGAATGATTCCCATTCCCTTTCCTGAAACCAGCGAACCAAACGCACCCTTAAAGTAACTTTATTCAAACAGAGGTTTGGAATGATGTAGAGATAAATACATGTATGATGAAATGAAGTTATTGATTTGATTATGAAAAAATATAATCAAAGTAAATATATGAATAATGAAAAATTCAAAGTTTTGTGATTTTTACGAAACCCAGGTTAATATGCTACTCGCCTTTGTATTTCTCTGTAATCCTTTTTATCCTTTATTAAAAAAAATTGTAATTGTCTTAGGATTCGAACTTGAAGTTGCAACTTGTCAGGCAGAAAATTTGCTTTCGGGTGTTTTGCGGTCACAGGAGACAGAATCACAGAACTGAACTTAATTTCTTCATTTCTGTGCTAATTGAAGAGAAATTATTTCTCCAAATTCTCAAAATTGAAAAAAAAAAAAAAATCAAAAATAAAATATGGGGGAGCGGTTGAAGATGGTGGCGTTAATCGGCGCAAGTGCATTGATAGGCTCTCTTTCTACTTACACTCTTCTCAAGCTTCTCAGCAGGTCTTACTTCAGTTCCCAACTTTTTATTAGATTTTAAATAATTGGTATTAATTAATTTTTGCTGGAATTAATATTATGTATCAATCATTTGATTTTTTGTTACTGATGCTTTGAATTGGAAACAACCCAATTGTTAATTTTTATTATTTGTCTTAATGGGGGTGTTGTTGGGGTTTGTGGGGATGAATTACAAAGTATAGATTGAATGAGTATTTGGTTGTTTGTATGTCAATTAGGTTATGTGATTGACATATGTGAAGAAATGCATACAAGTTGAATTTGTGAAATGGGAGTGAATGGCGGTAGAGATTTTGGTCATGGAGTGACGTGGGTTGCTAAGTTTGAGCTCTCTTAGACATTTTGCATATTTTCATTTGCATTTGTGGCAAAATAGTAAAGAAAGAAATTGTTTGAATGACAAATTATGGTGAATTTCTCAGTATGTGTATCTATTTGTTGGAGACATCGGAAGTATAATGGGTATAAGGATCAGAAATATAATCAGAAATATAAGATATATATATATATGAAATAAGCAGAGCTGCAGCACCTCCTTTATTTAATAAAATAATAGAGATTGATTTAGAGAATTAAATATATTATATTATGTTGTTATTCATTCTTACATATTACCTTAAATGAAAAATTATTACAACTTTTATGGAGTGTTACAAACTAAAATAAGAGAGGTGATAATTCAATATTATTGTAAACCTTAAAGAAATAACCTTTTACTATTTGCTGTAGTAAGCATATCTGCTGGTTGATCAATTGTATTGATAAACTAAGCTTTATTTCTCCTTCACCGACTAAGTCACGTATAAAATGATGTCGAATCTCAATGTGTTTGCTTCTAGCGTGGAACATTGGATTCTTTGTCATTGCATTTGCTGACATATTGTCTCAAAATATTGTTGTTGGACTTTCTTGAATAATATTCAAATCTCTTAAAATTCTTCTTAACCAAACTGCTTCACATGCTGCTTCTGTGGCTGACATATATTCAGCTTTTGCTGAAGACAATGCTACAGTTTGTTGTTTCCATGATATTATTTTAGTGCCTAAACAGAATATGTAAGCTGATGTACTCTTACGATCATCTACTGAACCAGCCCAATCACTATCTGCATATCCAATCAATTTATTATTCTCTTCAGTTCGGTATCTTATGCCTATTTTCTTGGTACCTTGAAGATAGCGTAATATCCTTTTTGCAACAGCAAAATGTAGTTTGCTAGGATTACTCATAAATCTTGACACCATATTCACTACTTGAGCTATGTCAGGTCTTGTATGAGTTAAGTATAGTAAGGAACCTATCAAACTTCTATATACATTAGCATCGACCTTATTAGCTCCATCATCTTGACTTAATTTTTCATTCAATGCCATAGGAGTATTCACAGGTTTGCAATTTTCCACATGAAATTTCTTTAGGAGATCCATTGTATATTTTTCCCGATTAAAGAAAATTTCTCCCTTGGTTTGTGTTACTTGAATTCCAAGAGAGTATTTCATGAGTTCTAAGTCTGTCATTTCAAACTCTTGCATTATACACTCTTTGAACTCATTTATGAGTTTCATATTATTTCCGGTGTAGATAAGATCATCAACATAAAGACAAACAATGAGAAAATATCCATCATTGTTCCCTTTGATGTAAAGTGATGGTTCACTTGGACTCTTTTTGAATCAACTATTCATAAAATATTTGTCAATTCTACTATTCTGTGCTCTTGGAGCTTGTTTAAGTCTATAGAGTGCTTTATGCAAACGATAAACTTTTTCTTCTGTACCTTGAATTTCATATCCTTGTGGTTGTTCCACATACACTTCTTCTTCTAACACACCATTCAAAAATGCGGATTTCACATCAAGCTGATACACATATAATTCTTTCTATGCAGCTATGGCTAAGAAAATGTCTCATTGAAATCATCTCTAGGTTTTGAGCATATCCTTTTACAACAAGCCTTGCTTTGTGTTTTTGAATATTTCCGTCTTGGTCTAGTTTTGTTTTATAAACCCATTTTAGACCAATAATTTCTTTACCTTCGGGGTAATCGACAAGCTCCCATGTATTGTTTTTCTCAATCACAACAATTTCTTCATTCATTGCTTTTATCCAAACATCATCGGTTGATGCTTATTTGTAACTAGAAGGCTCACTTGCAAATAAAGCAAATGTTTCCATGTCATTTGCTTTAGATAAATAGCACTTATAATCGTCCAAATAAGAAGGCCTCTTTCGAATTCTTCCCGGTTGATTCAATATCGGAGAAGATGAGGTTTCTTGTGATTGTGTATTTGGCACAACATTAGGAGATCTTTACGGACTGTTTACTGCATCATTTATTGTTGTTGGAATTGAGCCACGAGAAGTTATAGCTTCTTCTTGCCTAGGAAAATGAACTTTTTCATCATCCCATTTCCATTTTGCCGATTCTTCAAATATAATGTCTTTGGAGACTATTTGCTTCTTAGCTTGTGGGTCTAAGAGACGATAGCCTTTTGATTCATCACTATATCCCATAAAAAGATATTTTCTCCCTTTGGGATCGAACTTTTCTTTACCTTGATCTTTATTCAAGGCATATGCAATACATCCAAAAACTTTTAAATGACTAACAACTGGTTTTCTACCGTTCCAAGCTTCATAGGGAGTCTTGTTACTTATAGCTTTAGTTTGAGAACGGTTGAGTATGTTGATAGCTGTATTAGCTATCGGCCCATAATGTTTTAGGAAGACCCTTTTCTTCCATCATGCTTCTTGCCATTTCTACAATTGTGCGATTCTTTCTCTCTGCTACATCATTCTGTTGAGGTGTTCTTGAGACTGTCAATTGTCTTTTTATTCATTCATTTCTACAATGCTCCATAAAAGGGTTATATATAAATTCACCCCCTCTATCAGTTCTCAATGTCTTTATCATATATCCACTTTGTCTTTCAACTAATGCTTTAAATTGGATAAATACATTGTAAGCGTTTGACTTTTGATCAATAAAATATATCCATATCATATGGGTATAATCATCGACAATAATAGAAATTACCTCTTATTTTGTAGAAAAGGATTTTTCATGGGGCTAAATACATTTGCATGTACTAATTCAAGAGGAGCTTTGGCTCTCCATGAAGTCTTTGGGAATGGAATACGATTTTTCCATATATAAATCCTTAACTAACTTGAATATTTCTATCAATGTGTAGTAATCCAACAACCATGTCTTTTTGTTTCAATAGTTTTAATTCTTTTTGGTCAAAGTGTCCACATTGTAAGTGCCATAGATAAGATTCATCCATAACATTTGCTTGCAATGCCAGCTTATTTTCTGGCATATGAAGTGGGAAAACTTTATTATTAGCCATTTGTACTTTTGCCAATATAGTACTAGATTTTTGGTCTGTTACAATACATTCCCCATTGTCGAAATTAGCTGAATATCATCTTTGAGCAAGTTGCCCAACACTTAGGAGATTATGTGTCAAATTAAGCACATAAAGAACATCATGTATGTATTTTGTGTCATTTGATTTGCTATTAACAACAATGACTCCTCTTCCTTCAACTTTTGCCTTTTTTCCATCACCTAAGGTGACTTGATTTGCTACACCCATATCTAACTTGATGAACATGTCCTTATTTCCTGTCATGTGGTTGCTACAACCACTATCTAAAAACCATAAATTGTCAAACTTATTTTGTGCATCCATGCACGTAAGGAATAATTGTTCATCTTCAGCATTTGTGGTGAAATCCGCTTCATTTGTATTATTTTCATTTTGATGCCAACAATCCTTTTGAGAATGACTCGAATTTCGACATTTCTTACATCTAAAATAACATTCACATGATTGATGGTTAGACTTACCACATATACGACAAGAATTATTTTACCTTTGTTGATAATTTTGATATTGTCCGCGACCTCTTCCTCGACTTTGTCCTCGGCCACGGCTAAAATTTTGGGTACCACGACCTCTACCATATTGGTGTCCTCTTTGGTTTCTCTCTCTTTTCTCTAACTCTCCTTGATATTGTTTGTTTAATATATCAAGTTGGGATTGAAATGCTTGATCTACAAGTTGATCGATATTTGCATTCTTTTCAATTTTTACTCATGTGATTCCAAAGATCCCATTAATTCATGCATTGTAAGAGTTGACAAGTCCTTAGACTCTTCTATCATATAGGTTGCAGAATTATATTTTTCAGTCATACTTCTCAATACTTTTCGAACAACTCTTTTTTCTTCTATTGTATCACTGACACTTCTTATTTGATTAACTATCTCTGTGACTCGTGAAAAATAAACTTGGATGTTTTTTGCTGCATGAATATATCTTAATGCAAGTGCATCTGTTTTCTTGTTTTTCTTGTGTAGTTTTTGTTGTCCTTCATTAAGATTTTTTGTAAGGTCTTCATAGCCTCCTTCCACGCGCTCCCATAAATCTTGAGATATAAAGAATGTTTGCATTTGACTACTCCAATAGTCACAATATTCTCTGTCAAAGATAGGAAGAGTTGGTTGGGAATACGAGAAAAATGGTGTTAGATGTACTGGAAGCCATGATATAATTATTCCGGTTCTGATACCAAATTTGTTGGAGACAGCGGAAGTATAATGGGTATAAGGATCGGAAATATAAGAGATATATAAAAATATATATATGAAAAAAGCAGAGTTGCAGCACCTACTTTTTTTAATAAATTAATAGAGATTGATTTAGAGAATTAAAGATATTATATTATGTTGTTATTCATTCTTATATATTACCGTAAATGAAAAATTATTACAACTTTTATAGAGTGTTACAAACTAAAATAAGAGAGGTGATAATTCAATATTATTGTAAACCTTAAAAAGAATAACCTTTTACTATGTAATTTTAAGATTCCCCTTTAATTTCTCTTTTATTGCAAATTAATCTCACACTATTAAGGTATATTGTGATTTCTCGAGAGGAAGACTTTTGCATTAGGATGGAACTTGTCCAACAATACAATAACAATTACAGAGTAATTTTGAAGGGCTTTCTTCGAATCAAATAGTTTTTTGCCAAAAGAATAAGATATTTCAGCCATAGTTTGAGACTTTGAGCCATTTTATTCCTCTCTCGCCAAACATGCTTATAGACACATGTAAAGAATCTACTAGCATACAACTTATTAATATTTACCAAACTGAAGATAGATTTGAGCTTCCTTGCATTGTTACACAGATGAGCTTTACTGCTTTAGACAACCGCCTCTTTAAAATCCTGCTTCTATCCCACAATTACACCGAAATGCTAGATACAGAGATTAATTCAACAAGTATTAAAGCCTAAATACAAGTTAGATCATCTTTTCTACATTATCCATGTACCTAACCAATTTATTATTTCCACATTATCTATTACTTCTTATATCAATGCAATGTTTAGCTAATACAAAGTATATTTTTATCTGTGTACACATTACACCATATGCACAAACTAATACGAAGTATATTTTTTTTATGTGTACAAATTACACCATATGGTATCTAGCATTTTGGTGTTAAACTTCATATTTGAATCTGCTTAACTTTCACTTTTCTCACTGTACCCTTTCTTCTGCATTTGGTGATTTTCTGAAAAAGATATGTTTGAAATTTAGGTTATTAAATTGTGAATAAGTAACTTGTTTTTGCAGAAGGGTAGATGAAAAAGGCAGCAGTCCACAGACGGCAAGATTTGATGGTAGGGAATTGTAATTTTTTCCTTGCTAGCTCAAATTTTAGCGTCAATCACCTCACATGCAACACATATGAACCTGACCTTTACCATCTTTTCCCTTCCCTCCTTAACTCCTTTGCACTACCAGACGTTCTGTTAATGGCTACACAATTTGTACCTAAATAAATTTTAACAGATACTTCGTAGATGATAAATGGCGTAAGATGGATGAGGATAGTTAACAACTATGGTCCTGTTTTTAGGCTGATATTTTTTTTTCTTTTTTTTTTAAATGCTTTTTAAAAAGAGCATTTGTCATGGCCCCATTGGCCTGGGTCTGTGGAGATCTAGACATGTTTAGAGTACTAAGAACTTATTGTGATCTTATTAACTTAAAAATGAAAAACTAGAACTAATTTAATCTTATTAGCTTTAAATTAAAAAAAAAAAAAGTTAGACGAGAGTAAATTATAATTGTACCAACCATATCATAGGCAGCTGGTTCACTGTTGCTTTGTTATACACTACTGAAGCTTTTGTGTCCTATACAGACAAACAATCAATCCTTGAGGCAGACCAAAATGGATGTGTTACGCATAGGATGGAAAGTAAAGGAGCTCCAGATATTTTACAAGATGAGATAGTCTCTGAGCAACTGACCAGGTACTTTGACTTCTCTTAAAGAGTGGTTGCTGGAAATAGTTCTTGGCTTTATAGAATGGAACTGCTTTTGCTTTTCTTTCTTATTCCAAATTATTCCAAATTATTTTTCCGTATTAGTGATTCGGTGAATAGTGATCTTCTCTGATCTATAATGTGGAAACCTACTTTGCTGTTATGTATTTCCTTATCTAATTTGAAACGAGTTGTATACAAGATAAATGCGTAAATCATCAATACACTGAATACACTTGTACAAATCAGATACAGCATTATCACTTCATATGTGCATTTTTGTATTGTGAGAGTGGGAAGACGAGTATACATAAGAATCAACATTGCCTCGTTGATATTGTTATGTAATGTAGACGTTTTAAGGTGTGGGTAAGTCTAGAATTGTCTTATACTATTTAGCAATGGGTTATATAGGTTGTTTACTTGTTAGAGGCATAGTGTAGACTGTAATGTTCTTTGGCAATCTGTTCTGATTTTTGGCTGTATGGTCTTAGAGGAGCAATTAGATTAGAGTTAACTAATGTTGTAGAAATAATAATACAATTTATGATAATGGTCATGTCGATCTTGATTATATTATCATGATTATTATGATGGTAATGATCTTGATCTTTACTTAGTATCTGCATATGTACTTATCCAGATTGATACAAACTTTTAGTTATCTTTAGCTGATAATTCTATTAGCTAATCTGTTTGACATTTAAGCTATAGGACTATGAGATCCTTTGGTTAGCCTTCACATCAACTCATCTGCTCTCTTTTGATTATTCTTTCCACATCATTCAGGAACATTCAGTTCTTTGGTCTAGATTGCCAACGGAAAGTAACAGAATCATTCGTAGTGGTGATTGGTCTTGGAGGCGTTGGGAGTCATGCTGCATCTATGCTTTTGAGATCTGGAGTTGGGAGGTTACTTCTTGTGGATTTTGACCAGGTTTACACTATTTCCAGCTTCAACTACTTCTATTTCTCCCTCTCAGTGTCCATTAAAGAATGAAAGCTCCATTTTAAGGTCGATTCATCCATCAATTTGTTTTTTAAAAGTTTACTTAATATAGCCGTAGATCATAATTTTGCATCGCATATGTAGGGTAAGGGTCTGAAGGGTCCCTGGGTAGAGTCTGAAAACATTATACCGAACCCATACCCTACCCGATGCCACCTAGACCCATATCCTACCCGAACCCATAGGGTCTAAATAAGACCCATACCTGTATTTTAGGGTAGGGTCATGGACTCACTGCCATCCCTACTCGTAACCCTCTTGATTCATCTCTCTAAAGGGCTATGGGGTATTGTTAGCTTATTCCAAACTATGTTAAGATTTTTAAGATATAATCTCATATTTTGTGATATTATCTCCTTATTTAAAGAAAATTTGACACCTAAAATTGAAAAAAAAAATTGGAGTCTACAAAAGCCCCCACAAGACTCGATGTGGAGATTTGACATCATATGCAACGTCGTCTTGAAAATTTGTTAAATTTTGAAAGCAAAATTGACATGCCCCCATTAATTTCACGGATTTTGAAACTTGAATAGCAAAGCTGAAAAGTGAAAATATCCCACCGAGCATGTTTAATGTTATTAGTATAAATACTGGGTTACAATCTCTAATATCTCTACTGATTCGCTTTCCACGTGCTTAGAATTGTAAGCTGACTTGTTTTGATGTTCATGATGGCTGAAAGAGGCTTGATCTTGATCAGGATCTGTCTTCTTGATTAGAAAGACACGTCTGGTTTGGTGCTTGTTCTTCTTCTAGGATGCTAAGCTCGAGCAAGTTTAAGGTTTTGTTAAGTGGCCACATAAATGGGCTACATGACAACTTACTTTTTTAATAAGCCTAAAAACTTCTTTTGAGTTCTTTATCGTGGACTTAAATAACCATGACCTGTAAAATTGCCTGACCACTTCGTTGTGTTTTACATTGTAATTAAACGAGTTCATCTAAAATACATAAAATAGGCCAAAATAATTTATTAACCAGATGAATTATTTTAGTCATATATAGTTAACAGTTAATACTTTGACCAGGACAATATGAAGCGTGACATTCAATAAAATTTTTGTGCCTACAATTAGTTAATTGTTTTATTTGTCTAAAGGAGATGGAAAGAGGGGGGGGGGGGAAGAAAATCTTTTTACCGTGTTTTTAAGGACAATTGCTTTTCAAAAGAGACATTGAAACATTGAAAATTCTGGTGAAAGGCACCAAAGGCAAAATTTAAGTTATAGTTGAAGACCTGAGGTGTGTTGTTGTACTTGTTGTGGCATTTGTTGCTGCATATTTTATGCATAAATTGTTCATGACCAAATGTCCAAATGATGGTAGAATTTTCTTCTTGCTATTCTTTTGTCAATGGTAAGGCCACTCTCTTGTCTTCATTAATATGTTTCTTTTTTACTTATCCCATATGTCCAAGAAGGAGCTGATTTGGGAATGTGATGTTTCTTAGTCTAGCATAGAGAGAGTGAATTATTTTGGTTTTTAGGTAATCAATGATATTCCAACTAATGTCGCTTGCATGATTTTGCTAGGTTTCACTTTCTTCACTCAATAGACATGCCGTTGCAACACGAGAGGATGTTGGTATGCCAAAAGCTTTATGCCTCAAGAAGCACTTCTCAAGCATTTTTCCAGAGTGTCAAGTTGATGCTCAAGTGATTTTGTATGACGCATCCTCTGAAGAAAAGATTTTGTCAGGCAACCCTGATTTTGTTTTGGATTGCATTGACAACATAGATACAAAAGTAATTTTCCATGCCACTATCGCTAATTTTTTTAGCAAGTTGATACTGATCACTTTTGCACGCGTAGTTATCCAACAAAGTTGTTATACAGCCTCCAATATTAGAGATCAAGAATTCATGCTGTATAAGTTGCATTTTTCTCTAATTTGATATCTATTGTAGGTAGCATTGCTCGCTGCATGCGTGCGTAGGGGATTGAAAGTTCTATCCGCAACAGGAGCAGGCGCTAGAGCTGACCCAACTCGAATTCGTGTGGCTGATTTGAGAGAATCAACAAATGACCCCCTTTCCCGAACTGTATTTCTCTATCCTCATCTTTGCATTCTAAATTTTGTTATTAATGAAATCATTTGCCATGTACATTTTACAGTTAATTACCAGAGTGAACTAGAGAAAATTACATATCTTCCCTAGTTCTGTTCTAGCATTCTAGCAATATCGGTACAATGTAAAATAAATTTAAGCATATTATACTACTACCTCTGTTCTTTTATGTTTTACTCACTTACTATGAATACACAATTTAGGTGAATAAAGTAGGAGAGAGAGTATGGAAAAATGTAATTATTGTGGGGTTAGATGGGTAAGATGGTAAAAAGGGTATGCTATAAATAGATTACAGCAAAGTGAGTAGAACTTAAAAATAACGGCCTAATATGGAAAGTGAGTAGTACAAAAAAGAATGGAGGGAGTACTTAGGATGCCAAGAATCTTATGCTAAAAAAATAGTACCAAGAGTTTTGCATTACTGTGTGTTTTTTACTTGCTTAGCTGTAAAATATTTCTTGATGGTTGGTCAGTTCTAGGGCAAGTACTGCAGTATAGCTGTCTTCATGATTTGAAATTCTCTCTAAAATTCTGTGTCCAATAAGCAATCTGTTCTATTCACCAGGTTCGGCAACGGTTGAAGAGAGACCACGGCATTGAAGGTGGAATCCCTGTGGTGTTCTCCCTGGAAAAACCGAAAGTAAAACTGCTTCCATTCAAGGGTCTTAATGGAGAAGAGGAAAATCCTTCTGATTACCAAGTGAGAATCCTAAGCTCCAATTTACCTTATCTTGTGAATATTGACCTGCATATTATGAATCAACTACTTTGACCTGTTTGTTTGCTCGGGTGCTGTCAGACAACAAATGAAACAGGCCGTAATTAGCTAAGTTTCATGATGCCCCTCTATCCAATTGCACATGAAATCCAACCTAGAGGTCATTGATTATAGTTTTCCTTCATTGTTTACTTCCTATTGATCCTTCTCTCTAAACACTCGAGGTATAGACCATAGAGTGAGATGGGAAAAGTAATTTAAGCACCTGTTTGTTTAACATTAGGACAAGGATCAGATAGGAAGTATGAAGAAACATAAGTTGGAGTGGGGAATTCTTTAAAGAGGCCTAAACGCACGAGAAAAAAAAATGGAGAGTATACATTAGAGGATAAAGTGGAAAAAGAAAAAGTAAAAATAACAATGACAAAGTGTGTGAATAATAACATTGTTTGTGTACGCCTTGTACGGTGATCAAGTGATGTATGCTTGGGTTTTTCCGACTACTTTTAGGCTGCTTTTCATCTCTATGGAAAATAGCCTCCGTCTCTTTGCCTCTTTTAATGTGGGTTTGAATCGGACTTTTCATCTTTCAAACCTATTCCATTTCAACATTATTACATTTCAATACTAAGATTGTTCACTGTACCAGGACCAATAAGCCAAATAGTCTATTTATACGCAACACTTACTACTGATGGTGAGGTTGACAGATTACTCTCTTGGAGATATAACCAAATTCCCCCCCCCCCCCCTCCCCTCTGTTTAAAACAATAAGTTTGTTTCCCTTCTGTAGACCAAGGTCCCAGACCAAAAAGTATGGCAAGGTATATGATAACTATCATAATAACTATAACTGATTATCTACTGACAGACGTGATTGCCTTCGTCCTCGAATGCACAATTGTTCATTGTTTTGTCTTCTAAATACGACTACTGAACATGAATTGCACTCTCCCAACTACAACAAATTGCCGATCACAATATATATAAACCACATAATGATTTCTTCCTAACCTCCTCTAAAGCATTTCTCCCCTAACATAAACTCTAACTTATTTCCCAAGCTTCCCATAACTTACTATAAGGATATTGTCTAAATGCCACTTTCTCCCTAATATCAATTCATAGTATTATATTCAAACCTGATAAGTATCTGATTTGGATTCTAACCTATATATTCTTAATTTGGATTCTAACCTATTCATCTTAATCTGGGATACAAACCCTTTACTCATTACTTAAATTAATATTTAAATCATTTTGTACAAAAAATGGTTGATGAATAATATTAACCTGGTCACGTCTGCTTATTCTTAACTAAAATTGCTACTTTTGAAGCAAGGGCCGTAGCTTCTTCTTTATAAGCAAGTAAGATTTTGATCTTACTAACATTGGTGATGTTTTACAAAGTTTACAATCAAATTAATTATTTCAACTAATTGCGTCATCATATTTCTACCTACTCTAAGAATAAATAACGCAGTCGAACTTGGCACACATGCCAATGCACTAGTTTGACCTTTTAAATATTAATAAAAAATACAACCACCAATTTTTTTAATTGACATGTTTTAACTTTAGCACTATTCACACACTTTCTTTTGACCGTGTTTTGTGATTTATACGCAATGAAAAATTTAGTCATGTAGGGTCTTGTTAGCTTCGTCACGATATGTACTTTCAAAATATCAACTTTTTATATTTTTTGCATATCGGTAATTAAAGATATTAATTGTTGAATTTGTGCATTGTGAAATTGACTAAAGAAACGTGTCAACTAAAAAGAAACGAAACGGATGAAGTATAAAATAGTTGATACTATGAAACTTTATATTGATGATAAAATTGGTTTTTACTATGTTAGCAACAAACTATATTCAAAGTTAATATATGAATTGTAAAAAGTCAAACGTGTCAATTATTTTAGGGCGGAGGAAGTATTTAGATTCAATAGCTATAAAAATACTTTATCCTGAATCTAGTCATATTTCTCCTAGACCATTGTTTACATTTTCAACTTGAAAGTTAGTTAGCATACATCTATCATCCTCTGAAAACCTCTTGCTTAGAACTTATATTGTCTTTGTATTTTTCTTCATGAGCTCTAACACTTCTATGGGGAATAGGTTGCTTTTCCAAAAAACTGAGTTAGCAGAATGGTCTCAATCATAGAAATAGCAAATTTCTAATACTATTACTCCCCCTATCCCTCAAAAAAAATTCATGGAATCAAAAGTACTTTGAACTTTCCTGTTATGGTATTCTCACAACTCACTCTCTTGCTTGTCTTTACCCACCTCCAATTTCTTTTTTTTTTTTTCTTTTTTTGAATTTTCATTTCTAAATAATAAAAATTTAATTTTGTGCCAAAAGCTTTATGCATGTTTTTTATGGGATGGACAGACTATAATCCCTCCTTTTCACTTTAAGTGAAACATTGGATTTTTCAGTCTCCAAGACGTATTTATCCATTAATATCTTTAATTCCATATTTCAATGTATGAAGAAGTTTATTTTCTTAAAATACACATAGAATTTTACGTGATATATAATGAATTTTTTTTCCTTAACCACATCCTGATATATAATCAGAAGAAAGAATTCTACTATGCTCAACTAATTACAATTGGCTCACTATCTGTGTTTGGAGTATATATAGCACGTCATAGTGTCATACAACAACAATAACAGCAACAACAAAGCCTTAGTCCCAAAAATATATAGCATGTCATAATGTGAAATTTTCAACACTCTTCAATAAATGGGAAACTAGAACATGTCAAAATTCTCTTTTCTAACATGTCAAAAGTAGTTGCCGAAGATATTTTTTGGATTTATAAGGCATATATAGCTGGCAGGATCAGTGTCTGTCTCATTTCTCATGAAAGCATCCAAATTATAGAACAAGGTTTCAGCTGAGCTTGTTTATTAACGATTGTTCCACACTTCAGCAATAAAGTAAGATTCTAGTGATTTATTTGATTTAACAATAGGAATGCTCTTTGAAGTAAATCTTAGAGAAAAGCTTATCAAGTGTCTGACTCACAAAATATCCAATATCAGGTGTCCAATTCACAAAAGCTCCAATATTAAGTGTTTTACGACTTTTACCTTGAGCGACTAGTTATCATCGGTTGTTAATACATATTATATATATATACTTTTTTTTTTTTTTTTTTTTTTTTTTTTTAAAAAATTTTTTTTTGCTGATGTTCTGACCTTTAACTCTTTCATCCAGGTTGTACCAGGGTTTAGGGTCCGGATTATACCTGTTCTTGGATCCGTGCCTGCAATTTTTGGGCAAATTATGGCCTCGTATGTTGTCACAAAGCTAGCAGGGCTGCAAATTGAAAATGAGCCAATAGTTAATTTTGATGTGGAGCACTATCAAGCTCTCCATCAGCGGTTGATTGAGCATGAAGAACTAGTTTATGGTACTGCTAGCGAAGTACAGGTATGATGATTTCCTTAAGAAACTCTCATTGCCCCCCCCCCCCTTCTGTTCCAATTCAGATTACAAAATTGTAAAGAGGATTATTTTTGAGTTAAAAGCTTTAACTTGAGATAGTAAAAAAGGTGCATAGCTCTGAAGCAGAACACTCACAAGACTTGTTTACAGTTTGCTGTGACAAAAAAAATAGGAATTTTCCATAGAAATCAGTAGGGAAAATACTAGAATTTGAGTTTTGGTAACATGGCTTGAACTTTAGCATGATTTTTCTCCATGTAACATGCTAGTGGAATTTTCAGATTTTTAGAAATGTTATGTGTGCCTTGAGGATTTTATGCCTTCAGTTTTTTTAACCAAGATGTTTTTATTGTTTTGCCACGAAAACCATTAATTTCTTGGTTAACAAAGTAATGTGGACTCCTCATAGGGGAATGGAGGAGGGGGGGGGGCATCAATTTGTTGGGTTGAACTTTGTTCCCTCAACCTTGAATGTAAAGATGGGAGAAAACCTGTGCCTTTTCGTCTGTTGCTCACCTCAGCTTTTACTGACTGCTGTTTCTGTCACGTACATTATTGACTATTACCCTTTGTCCTTTATTAAGGTAGATGTTGAAGAAGTGAGGTATGTTGTCAAGGAGTTGTGGCATGGACGAAGTGCTAAAGATGGTTCTTTTAATGGTGTGGGACGTGCAATGTGGCGATCTGTTAACGAATTGATGCTCGTAAGGTACATGTTCTACTTATGTTATTGGGCAAACACTCAAGCAATCAAGAGTGCTTAGTTTGTACAAGTTGTTTTTATATCTGTTTGTATTTGTTGTCTCTTTTTTCTTACCAATTTATTATGCACTATATGCTTTATTTGATGAATAATCAATCATGTTTTTCAAGAAGGTAAAAAGACTGGAGTAAGCTTTTAACATTATTAACTTTTTTGATCAAAACTAAGCACTTGCCTGTGCTCTTGTGGTTAGTAATTTTGCCAAGTGAGAGTAGGTGAAATGTTCTTGCTGATATTGTTTACTTGACCAATGGCACTAACATGCAATGTAAAATTAGTTAGTTGTTGCAATGACTAAATTTTGTAAAACTAGATTGGTGGTCCATGATTTGGTCATGATTTGTTGTTGCAATATATATTGAGAAAAAAAAAATATCAATCTTGATAATTTTTAATTGGAAATGTATAAGAGATAATTAGATAATAAAGCAGTTGATGGAAACTGAATATTATGGAAATATTGTAAATAGTTTTTATATTTTTAATATTCAATGCTTCCCTGTGTAATTCAAGAATTATTTTCAGTGTATGGAAATATGATTTTTTATTGGGGTTAAATTTGCGTATTTAAAGCTTAACTGCCTCTATATTTGATAAAAATTACTCTCTCCGTTCTTTTTTGTTTTACACTTTCCATTTTATGTTGTTCTTTTATGTTCTACTCAGCGTTTGCCATCTTACCCCTTCAGCCCTACAATAAAAGGTGTAACATGGATCTAATGAATGTGCCAAAACATCTTCTGATTTTTTTTTTTTTTTGAGTCGTGTACTGGTGAGTTTCTTGTTAATATAGCTAATTTTTATCTGCTTTCCATGACATGCTGTTGGTCATTGATATAGGTGGGATAGCACAAAGCCTGCATCTGTTTCGAACTTGATTCTTCTGAAGTTCGATGAGGTATTTTTTTTACTTAAGCACTATTTTTCTTCTTGTTCTATAGTGCGAATCAACAAATAGTATGTCTGAATGCTAAAAAAATTGCTTTCAGAAATCAAGGGATGTCAATTTTTTCTCCTTAAATGTTTTTTTTTTTTTTTTTTTTTTTTTTTTTTTTTTTTTTTTTTTTTTTTTACTGTAAATCTTCAGGTGCTATTATATGAAGTGCAGCAAACTTCAGAGATGTTGGCGCCAACTTTCTGTTTATTGCCCTTTCTCTTTGTTATTAATAGAGGCGCTATTGTTCTGTGCCAATCTCCTTGTTACTCCTTTAGCAATCTTCTTCCCAGTTTTGTAACTCATTGGAAACTCTAAAATATCAGTGGGAAAATCTTTATTGCACAGCCAAAGTTGAATAGCTGTGTGTGTAACTGAGGCATAAACTAAACTGTTCATTTACTGCAAACTCTTGTTTATAGGAAATGTGAGTCAGTGCAAGAAAATAGTTAATAATATAAGTGATAAGGTAAAATGATGGGTGAGTGTAAGAAAAAGTTGAATAAATACAGTGGCGTAAAGAGGGTAAGGTGGTAAACGATAGTACAAAATAGAGGGAGTACATTTTTATATTATTTCCATGGATATGGATACAAATGAGAATTTAGTGTTTATGCATCATGCTGAAGCTGGCTCTTGTAATCTCACTCCACCTGATTACCTTTGGTCATCCATGTCAATCTTCCCCACCCCCCCCCCCCCCCCAACCCCCCAACTCTGATTTTCAAGCTTATTCTAATTTGTCTAATCCACAGGTGGATGAACATGAATCAATGACACTTGATGACATTAAAGAGAAGGAACCAGAGTTTTTCCAACGTGTGTCGAATGTTCTAAAGCGAGCAAATTTGGACTTCTACCTGTAACTGCACTTCATGTCCTCCATCTCTCAATTCAGTCATTCCTGTTAATGAAGGGTCCTGCTTTTGTAAGCAATATTTCAATTTGTTTATTTAAGACAGTTCAGCAATCTTGGAATTATCCCAAAAAAAATCGAAAATTCAGAACATTTTTTATTGGCTATTGCAGATTCATACATAGTCCTAAAATTGAAATGGCCTCAAATATGAAGATCAGATAGTAGTCAAGGGATTCTCTCCTCAACAGAGGCCAAAAAAGAAGACAGTTTATGCTGCTGTGTAGTGTTCCCTCAATGTGATGGCCCTTTTGTGCTAAGAGGTGACAGAGAGCCCAAATCTCAAATAGATAATGATCAATGACAGGGAGCTGTTTACAAAATAGATAATGACAGGGTGCTGTTTACAAAATTGAGATTATTTATTTAGATCTCCCCGAGCTTTTTTGCCTTTTTTACCAGAGCTATTACGCCTTTTTACCGATGCTTCATTCTTCCAAAAATTTTCTAGGGTTCGTTTGGTTGAATGTAGGAATTGCAACTTCCTTGGAAATATAATTTCCCATATAATCGGATTTCTTAGGAAATTTTAAACACAAATTCTTGATTAAGACAGAATTTTATTGACTTACTAGAATTTAAAGGTACCCTTATATACCACAAAAGTTACTATTTTTCTAACCTAAATTTTACCCTTATAAACACTAATAATGTATTAGATTAATCTTATTGGAGTACTAAACCACGCCCGTTCATAACATATTGCGGGCATGGTTTAGTACCCCAATAAGGCCCTGTTTCCATAAAATGAGTTTGGGCTAGATGCATAAAATTGGCCAGATTCGCTACGTTTTGGGGCTAGATGCATAAAATTGGCCAGATTCACTCGGTTTTGGTGATTTTGACCAATTCCTCATGCACTTTACTTTATTTTTTTTTAGATTTTTATAGAATTATTAATCATTTATTGTTATATATGAACATTTTCCTAGACACTTCTACATTTCAATTTCAATTGCCATTAATTTTAAAAAACTGAGCATGACTCGGGAATTATCTAGTTACTACGGAGTATAATATATATAAATGGGTACATAGTGTTTTAATTAAAGGAAATTTGTCAAAAAAAAAAAACGACCTTTAGGCGGTCTTCTAAAAGTAAAATGATATTTGATGGACATCTGTCCATAATAGAACATGACTGGTTAGTAACCTGTCTAATAGGTTAATTGTGACACATGTTACAATGCGATTAATAGTTTTTAAAAAAAAATTAACATTTTCTTTTATAACGATGATTTTAATTCAAAAACAAAAACCCCCACCCAGCCACCAGCCCCTTGCCGGCAAATCCCCACCCAGCACCCCACACCCATGCCGTCGTCGGCAAACCAAACCCGTCCCCCACTATTGTCCATGTTGGCGAACCCCTGTTCCACCCTTCGCCTTCACTTTGCCACCCCTCCCAAGTCACCCTTTGTCGCCCCCTTTTTTCCCACCAACTCAAAACCCACTTTTAAACTCCACCCTTAATTCTGTAAACCTCCTGAAATCCACTTGCCAACCCACGAAACCCGCCCGAAATTACGATCTCCCCACCCCTTTTCGTGAGGGATTCAGCGATTGGGCGTTTGTGGGCTTGGTTAGTGGGGTTGTGTTCGAGGGGTGTGTGGGGTGGGTGAGGGCAGTTGTAGGGTTGTTTCGGGGTGTGGGGTGGATGAGGGGGGTTTTGGGGTGTTTTCAAGGGGGATGGGGTGGTTGTGGGGTGGTTGCGAGGTGGGTTTTGAGGTGTGTGGGGTGGGTTTCAAGATGGTTGTGGGTCGGGTTGGGTTTCGTGGTTGTGGTTTTAGGGTGGCTGGGGAAATGAAAGGGGATGGAGGGGTGGCAAGGGTGGCGTTGCGGGCGATAAGTGGCTGAAGGGAGGAGGGAGAAGGGAGGAGAGATAAGGATTTTTTTTTTAAAAGTAAAAATCAATTTTTTTAAAACGAAAAATATAAAAATAATCCTAAGCAATCACTAGTACGACACGTGTCCGAGTCTAACTACAGGTTATCATTTTTTATTTTAATTTGACTAGTTGTTCGTCCAAGGTCGTTTTATTTGGAATAATAAAAAAGTCGTTTTATTTTTAGAAGACTGCCCAAAAAGTTGTTTTAGTTTTGACAATTTTTTTTTTGTTAGATTGTTTTAATTATTCAAAGTTGTAAGCCTCTTAGGAAAATTAAAATTGTTATCACCCTCTAGTCCTAGTCTATTTCCTTTCTCTTATTATGAACTTGATTTTTACATCATGACTTATAGTTCATTTTAATTAAATTTTATGTACAATTGTAGAAAGTAGAATAATATTCAAAATTTGTGAAAATACTTAATTAAAATAACTTGTTATCAAGTGATGTTCACATACATCATTACATCAAGATCGATGACGTATGCAGGGCCGTCTCCGACAATTTGAAGGCCCTGTGACAGATACAAATACCGGGGCTTCTTCAAATTTTAAAATGACATTTATAATGTAAGACACATTGATATTGTGTTAAGATATTGTAAGACGACATATATAACCAATAAACCAGGACTATAGTTAAACAATCAAACGCTAAATTGAAGCACTTAAGAGCCTTTTAAAAGATCTAAATGCTGATAGAAAAATTGCCATAATTAATCCCAACTTAGCTCCGTCCGTCAACATTAATCCCAACTTTCGTTTATTTTTTATTAATCCCAATTTTATACCCAATCTGCCCCCATTACACCCAATCGGTCATCCAACCTCCGGCAGGCGGCACCCCCTGCCACCTCTAGGCAAGCGGTAGCCTTGTCAAACTCCGACGAACCCCTCCTTTCTCCCTCTGTTCGCCCTCTTCCCCACCAGATCCCGGCACTGCCTTCCCCTCCCCCAAATCCGGCACTCCTAGCCTTCCCCTCCCTCGATTCTAGCTCAAATTCGACCACTCCCTCCCTTCCCTTCCCCAATTCGGCCACTCCCTCCCTTCCCTTCCCCGATTCCGGCAACCCCCTTTATTCCCCTCCTCGAATTCAGCCACACTCATACTTTCCCCTTCCCGAATCTGGCCACCACTCTCTCTCTCTCTCTCTCCTCGAACCCGGTCACCCACTCCTATTCTCTCCTCGTTCCGGCTGCCTTTTATGGTGGCTGCCGTACGTTTAGGGTTTATGGTGGCTGCCTTTTTTTTAAAAAAAAAATAAATAAATAAAAAATTGGTTAAATTTGTTTAAATAATTGACGAATCACGTGGTGACACGTGTGCAAAAAAATTCCAACTCACAAATGTTAACCTGCTTAGCCGGTTACAAGTCACTTGGGAGTGTTTTTGGCGGATTGGGTATAACGTTGGGATTAATATTGGCGGATGGAGCAAAGTTGGGATTAATCATGACAATTTTTCCAAAGCCGATATAAATAATACGAAGTATGAAAGTATGACCATTGAACACCATAATTAAGTGGGTTGTTTGAGAAAAATCAAATATTGATTTAAATCTTTGATAGACATGAATATGAATAAGTTCTTCAGTGTTGTTAAAAAAGCAGAGGAAATATTTCAGTCAATATGAATGAGTTCTTCACTATTGTTTAAAAAGTAAGGAAATTTTTCAGTAGAATAATAAAAGGACGATAATAAATAGAGAGAATAAGTTATTTTGTTCTTTGGAAATTAAATTATACATGGAAATTTGGAGAGAGAAAATAAAGAGTTAAAATTGCTTTAAATGGGGGAAAGATGCTGACTTTTACACAACATTTCACGGAAATTGGGAAAGAAGAATTAGAACTTTAGAATTTTATTTTATTTTATTTTTTTTATTTTTTTTGTCTTTTTTTTTTTATTTTTGGTAAAGACTTAGCATGAAATGTTTTTTTGGGCCCCAAAATTTTGAGGCCCTGTTCTGTAGGTCCGATTCGACCGCCCTTGAGCCGGGCCTGCATGTATGCTCATTTGTACTCCGTAATACATTATATGTTCATTTGTAGGTAGAAGAGTGTTAAAATGTAATGCTTGTATTACTTAATTAAAGACGACTATCCTTAAAAAAAAAAAAGACGACTAATTATTATCAAGATGTATATAGGGGCAAGCTAAGTTTAAGGCAACATGGGTTAATTGACCCCACTTAATTTTTGTAAAAAAATGTTTCATACATTTAAAAAAAAAAATTACTAATTTAAATTGAATTATTTAATAATATGGGAAATACGATATCAAAATTCAGAAAAATCTATCAATGTAAAACACACATATTTGTATGTGTAATATGTGAGCAATATATAGTATATAATATATTATGAATTTGTGTTTAGAATTTTTAAGTCATTATGAAAGTTTATATAAATGTTTTTATTAATAATGTAGGAAAATTAATTCATTTACTTTTGGTTAAGAACTACTTTAAATTGATTTGAACCCACTCCTTAGAAAGCTTGCTCCACTATGTACATATCAAGATCGTACATGTATGTTCATTTGAATAAGTTTTATGTACATTTTTTTTTTAAAAGATTCAATTAATTTATCGAAAGTAAAATGTTCAAATTTAATTTAATTGGTCTTGATAAATGAATGTCAACTTGATAGATATAAAACAAACATATCTTGATAAATGATTGAAAAAAGATAGGTAATGTACCTAAAAATGATTTTTGCAAGCTCTTCATCATATCGTATGACACGGTTACACAAACCTTAATAGCTCGAACCTTGTATTTTGAATTAATTTAGGATTCACAAAACGGTAACAAAAAATATAAATTGGTTTTGGTGTG